CACTTCTATTAGAAAAGTCGTCTCATTTATAAATTCCACTTATAAATTTAGGTTTACAAACTGATTCTGGATTTGAATTTATGCAGCCAGCTGCCAGCGCCCAAGATATTTGAGTTTTAGTACCTTTGGAGAGCAATAACAAAATAAAAATAAGAGGACCATTGTGGAAGTTTACATTTTACATTTCCACAGAATGCATCAAAAATTCTGCTAAACCCAAGTCAAGGTTGCAAAATTTCACATGCAACTTCAGTCCCAACTCTTAAAATGCCTTGGGTTAAAAATATATAGCTATGTTGTTCCCTGCTCCCATGGTACCTTATCACCCAAATTTACTAGTATCTGAGAACTTGCTACAAAACCTGAAACAAACAGAAAGACTCATTCTGGTGGTAACTAACACCTCCATGACACAGAGTAACAAGTCGTATTGTGTCAAATATCCTCTTCTGGATATGCCCCATTAAGGAAGAGTTCACTGTATCATGTCACTGCTATGCATTATAAATGATTTCAGGTGCCTCTGTTTCAATGCATGCCACAGGACTCTGACCCACCTTGTAGTAGCAGGATGTGAAGTACTGTACAGGTGTTCACCCAGAGGGAAAAGAAGTTTGACTCTGTATGTCTGATCCTGTTTCCTTCTCTATCCCCTTTTTGAATCAACATTGAACGAAAGCAATAAAATACGAAAGTTAAGTCGCCATTTCATGGGACTAAAATTAAACACTGCTCTAAGACCCCACTGGTACATACACACAGCAGGGCAAGGGTGACTTATGACTGTATCTTTACTCAAAAAAGGTTGTGCTTTCGCAGAGATAAGTAACCTGAGATAGCCATCTCCATGTAAAATCCTGGAGAAGAGAAGGTGCAGATAATTCCCAGCCTTTCAGAAGTAAGAACTACCAGTGCTTTTTCTCCACTTGGATTTTATGCAGAAAAGGCAGTCTCTGTATAAAACACTTTTTGGTGTAGCAAAGACACAACCGAAGGTGGGTAACACACACCTGACTTTGGTTTGTTTATATCAAATTGAAATATCAGGAATTGAATGGCCACAGGTAAAGACTAATTAGCTTGATAAAAAGCTGGTGGTAGACCTGTGCTTGTTTTTGTAGACTTATTTCTGAAATGTTCAGTCGAAACAAAAAACAAAACAAAAAAACAGGACGTAAAAAACCTGAGCCAGTATTACAGATTTTTTTCAGTAAGGAGAGTACAACAGTTCCAGTGCTGCCATTGACACATCAATGAAAAAACAAAACATTCTTGAAAAATTATATACAAATCACAGCAATATAGTATATCATATATACTAGTCAGAGAGAGAGGGAGGAATGGAGAAAATTCTAGGCTGAGCCATCTGCATTTGGTTTATTAAACTAAAGGATATGAAAACACTGGATTTTTTTCTGAGGACAGAACTTCTCACATGTAATAGACTTACAATTTTAAATGTCTTTAAATGGCTTTAAAACTTGTGCTTCGCAGCTCTAAAAAAGATGAGGGAATATTCTCATTGCCATACTGAGAGAACACCTTTATTATTAAAGCTATTAAACACTTCACAGTACTGAAGGCAACCTTCAGCCAGCCCCTTACTCAAGGTGAGCATCTCTGAACCCCCGCAGCTGTTACATGCATCTACATTATTGTGGCAGGTCGAAGCAAAACAGAAGCAGAGGCATCTCTAGCCAAAGGTTCCCAACCCTGTATCAATGTACGAGAAGTCCTTTCAGGTCTGAAATGGCTCCATAGTTTTCCAGAGCTCAGCATTCATAGCAAACTATTACCTGTACAAAGGACTCCAAATGCTGAATGAACAAGGCCATCACAAGATCTTGTAAAAACTTGCTCATCGATTATACCAGACAGATAAAAACACAAGTTTAGCTGTTTGTGGCAAGAGGCCGTGAACTATGAATGAACACTGTTGCAAGAACTTTGTTGGGCTGAATAAGTAGTTATTTACAGACTCTGACAACACTGAAATCACCTCAACCCCCTTCACCCTGGGTGACTGATTAGAGGCCACAGCAGAGATGTCTGGCTGGCTTAGCTGGCCTAGTGTATTGGCACTGCACCAGGTCAGAGTACTCTCTCTAGTCACTACGGTCGTCAAGACTTTGAACCTGTAGTGAAAAAATATAAAACCCTTCGTAATCCTCATCTAGGAAGGCTACAGATAGAAAGAGCCCAACTGCTTCATTTGTTTAAATACTCCAGCTTGTCACCTGCAATAAGAAATGCACAGAAATATTTTTAGATCAATTTCACAGCTAACCCAATTAGAGGGTTAAATTAAAAGCAGTTTGCACTTATGCTACTATCTTGCATCAGTCCTGTGCTAGATTCACACCTACAAAATTAAACGGAATCTCGTTTTACCTGTTCTCAGACCCCATCCAAATAATTTTTCAAAACTGAGTCATGCTGCCCCCTACCCCCACCATCTACTTTAAACTAATGAATCTAACGGACTCTCAACTCTGTCCTTTCTGTTAAATCAAAGTAAAAAGAAGCATTTGTGTAGCCAGCTCCATTGCAATATAACCACTCTTGCTTCGTAGGAAAAAACAACTAATTTCAACAAAGGAAGTTACTGCCAAATACACTGGTGTAAGGTAGCGGTAAAAGTTTTAAAGGCCTAAGTCAAAAGAAAACTTACCCGCTTTGGGTCAGTACCATGATGTTAACTAGCTGACTGTGGGGGGAGGGAGGTGCAGAGATTTGATAGAGCAGACCAAAGAGAATAGGGTCTCATGGAGTAGGTTCTAGCTTTTTTAAAGGAAGAGATCCTCCGATAGGCAAGTTTTCTTGGTTACACCCCCACCAAAATCAGCACCTGCCTATTACTAAGCCTTTCAGACACTGCAGAAAATCCAGAAATGGATAGTATTTCTAAGAAGTCAAGCAATTAAATTAAGAGATCAGATTGTTCCAACAAGAAACCTGTGCCAAGAATCAGATTGGAAGAAGAAAGACTGTTTCTTCAAAAGGCAGAGTGGATGCTAATTCTTCAGAAATATTCCACTTTGATATTATCACAGTTCTGATCATACCTAAACTTAAAAAAAAAAAGTTTCTCAGCTTTGTCATGGGATAGCAGACTCATTTACATTCACTCTGACTGGCGTAAAAAAAAAAAAAAAGAAAGAAATCTGTATCTTTTAATTTGTAGAGCTCTAATGGTATTCATATCTAGCATGGCCTGTTAAAGTCAAGAAAGAATAATGGTCTATTCAGTACTGGTAGTGTTAATAAAATCAGGCAAATCCAGCTTAGCTTTGTCTGAACACGAATGAGATTAAATCAGAATTAAATGTGCATACAGTACAAAGGCTATGGTTTATTTTACAATTCAGGTTGAACACGTTTTAGTGCCCATTCTATGAATGCCTATAGATTTTTTTGCAAAATCCATATATAACCAAATCAACCCAAAATGTGGCTTGCATAGTTGATGGCAGAGGACTCAAGGCTTTGACCATCTGAAATGCCAAAGACCAGAGTTGCCCTAAAATACAGCTCTGCAGCCCCAAACAACAGACTCAATCCTAAAATTGTCAATGGGAATCGGTGGCATTAAATAGGGCTCAATGGACTGTCGCATGCTTACATCAAGAATGAATTTGCCATATTGGGGTGTTAACAACATCAAGATTATGCCCAAGTCTCCACTTTGTGCCAAATGCACTAGGACGCAGAAGTTACGACTGCGTTGCATGTCGACCCAAGTAGAAATGAGCCCTCTGGCTGCAGAAAAGCCACACAGGCTGAGACGCTTTGAAAATAATCAGGCCCAGGCAATGCATTTTTAAAAATAGCCGGGGAAGCCAATTGACTTCCCTTAAAAAGAAAACTCCATTTCAATTCTAGGTAGTTTGTTAGGGTGATCTGACACAGAAGTACAGGCTACTTGGGTCAGACAACGCTCTCAGTGATTCTTCATGTTTACAGTTTAAAATAAAATTTTTAAAAATTATAACGAGTTTTCAAAATATTTGCTCCACTTTTGCCTCCAGCCCTCCAACCCCCAAACAACTGAAGGCGTATCACTGAAATGGAGCGGTTAATTAAGATACCTAAAAGCAAGGCTCAAAGTGTTAACAGTGCTAACCTTATGGGTCAAAGTCTCCTGAGCATCACTTCAGCTGAAGTGAGAAACATAGCCTATTTGGAAGAGCAAGACAGTTAAAGCAGACAACTAAATTAACAAGACTGCCTCTGTGTCAGCCAAAACATCATTACAGCTGATTAGCTGAGGGGAAGGGATGATATAAAAACAGATGAATCGGAAGAGGACATTTTACATATGCTGAAAAGGAAGTTTTACATACGCTGAAGGAAACAAGAGGGGCGAAGATAACCCCCATGATATAAACCCCTCACAACTCTGCACTGGGTTGGGTGAAAGCGATTTCTGAGCCCTGCGGGTCCCTCACCCGCGGACGCAATATGGTCATCCCTGCTCATGCCAGGATGCTCCGACACAAAGATGCTAAATCCCAAACAGCAACAGATTAAAGATCAGGACGCGCACAGACCAGACAAGCCGCTTAACAGCAACAGCTTTTTTCCCTCTTTGCGGCAGTCTGACAAGCGGGGAGCGACCGGCTAAAACTTTACTTCTATTTGGGGCACCGGGAGAGCCCGACTCGTCTTCTCCCCGGCCACGCGTGACTTTTTACTTTCAGATCTGGCACAAAACTTTCCTCCAAAAGACACCCGCGGCGGCCAGCGACTCCGGCTGTGAACCGGTGCCTCCAGGTCCGGATTAGGGAGGGAAGAGGAGGAGGAGGAAGGGGGGTGTATAGTGCCCCAAAAAACTCCTTGCTCCGGCGCTTCAGGAGAGGCTGTGGCAGGGCCCCGTGCACTAGCTGAGCCCCCAGTGCAAGCCCCCATGCTCGGCCAGGGCTATTTATAGCCGCCCCCCTCACACACGCACACGCACACGCACACGCGCGCGCCCATTCCCGGCCCCCGGCCCCACTCACTGATCTCCATGCTCTGGAACAAAGAGCGCTTGCAGTTGCACGTGCAGGACACATTGGGCTGCAGGGCGATGCCGGCGGTGCCGTTCAGCCCCATGAAGTTATACATGGGCGAGGAGGCGGCGGCGAGGCGAGGCGAGGCGGCGGG